CCAACACTTACTGTGCATCACTCCTGCCCGTGTACTGAGCACTTTACATCCATTACTTTACTCAATCCTCACGCCAACCCTACAAAGCAGGCCCTGTCATCACCCTCATTTTATAAAGACTCTGAAGGGAAGGGAGGTTAAGAAAAGTGCCCAAGGTCACCCAGTTCATTAAGTATTGAAGTTTGGATTCCAACTCAGGCAGTCTGACTCCAGAGTATGTGTCCTTAACTGCTGAGCACATCCTTGGTGCCGGGTGCTGTGTGAGGGCTATGGCGTGGAGTTTCTCCTCCAGGAGCCTGGAGTCTTTTAGGAGCACACACATCTGATCTTATATTCTTATTCTCTCTTTTTTTTTAAGACTAAAAATTAAAAAAAAATTGGGGGGGATGGGGAAGGTCATTAGGTCTATTATTATTATTAGTAGTAGTAGTAATTATAATTTTTAATGCAAGTACTGAGGATTGAACCCAGGACCTCGTGCATGCTAAGCATGCACTCCTGAGACTTATTCTTAGAGCAATGAGGCCCCTTTGGAAATTTAGGGACCATCTACTTAATGTAAGTGCTTAAAATGGAAGGAATTACTTTGCCTGGAGGGAACACTCTTAATGAAGATAAAACTTACCAAAGTCAGGCCTTCTCCGAAAAGGAAAAAAAAAATCCAAACGACAGACCATTTAGTCCCTGAGGTCAGGGGTCTGTTTTCCCCCATTTCTCCAGAGCCTGGCAGTGTCACATACACAGTTTAGTACTAGCAGTAGCGGCTGTGCCCCACGGGATTGTCGGGTAAATGAACACCACAGAAATAGAATGTAGTTCTTAAGATGTCTTAGCTGGCCCTGGGGTCTCTTCTTGTCTCAGGCCACCCACCCTGGTTCCCAGCATCTGAATTCTGAGGGACCAGGGGCCATAAGGAGTGGGCAGGGTGACACGAGATGGGATAGGAAGGGTGATGGGGTGCATGTGCGTCAGGAGGGAAGCACAACAGCACGATGGTAATGTCACAAAAGATTGAGTGCTTTGGGGGGAAGAATGACACTCTCGGTATATCAACCACCTTGTGACCAAAACCCCGTCCCCTGGGCAGTGGATGCTGTGACAAAGCCGGGGATGTGGCAGCATTGAGACACCATGCTTATGGGGTATATATACATTTCTAGATACACACTTCTTCCGTTTTGCTCATACACAAACACACACACAAAGACAATAGGAAAATAGAAGAAGGAAGACCATACCTTTAACTACCCTATCCAGATAGTGCGCTTGGGAAATAAAAGACAGGACATTTAAGGTAGGCTCAAGAAAGTGCAGTACTGCCTGTCACAGGACCATGCCAGGAGTTAAGGAGACAAAGGCGGCTGCACCCCACATTTGGGACAGACCTGCCAGGGTGGGGAAAATAAAACGAAAGACAACACAAGAGAGAAGGAGGGCGAGCAAGCACATTCTCTGGGAAGGACTGAAAGGAACGTCAACTCATTCTGCGATCCAGGCATTTGGAAATGTGATCATATGAACAAGAAGACACATGGATAAGGAAAACAAGAGAAAAAGCAGGATGGGGAGCTACAAAAGTGGCCATACTCCTGCTCCATCAGCTTTTGGAAAGTTAGAATTTGTGCCTTTGTCTACCCAGAGCAGCATCCAACTTCCCGCCAGGGAAAGCAGGGGGACAAGGGCCAGTGCACTCTGTCTGGGCAAAGGTGCCCCCAGGAGGCTGGAATTTGGAAATAGGCAAAAGGTGAATCATCTTTGATAAGAACTAGGGAAGTGGGTTAAGTCTTTGGTCAAATATCCGCTAGGTTATCTGTTTGCCATTCTTGAATTTTCCGTGGACTTGAATGCAGAATGTTTGGTGTTCTAAGTGAGATGCATCTCTCCTTTGTGCATCTTACACAGATTATGAGGTGCAGGGCAATGGGTGTCACTGTGAAAGACAAGAAAAAGGAAGGAAAACCTGATCACTTCTCAACGCTTATGAACTCAAAAGGTAGAATGAGATACACTTTGCTTTCCAATGGAGGGGTCACATCTAAGCACTGAATTATCTGGTGACCTAAGGTTTTGCTTCTTTGTGAGGGTGGGTGTCGAATGTTGCTCTGAAATAAACCTACTGTGCACACACATGGGTGCCTGGCTGTGTGTTCAAAGCAGGGCAGGCCTCTTCATTCCCAGCATGAATCAGTAACACCCTTTCGCCTTCCTGTCAGTCTGGGGTCACAGCCACTTAGAAGGGTTCCCTTTCATCTCCTTCTTTACAGCTTCCCAACATGTGCTCCCGCAGAGGCCAGAGAGATGACATTCACCTGAAGGGTTGATGTTTTCAGCTGGGTTGGCCCCCACCCTCAGCTGGATTTCACACGTGAATCAAAAGTCCATAAAGAGAGGACTGAACTGCAATGGTGAGGCCTTATCTGGAAGCCCTCGGGTTCTATAAACCGTAAGAACATTCTTACTCTCTTCATAAAAAAATATAAATTTTATGTTTTCAATCCTCTGGATAGGACAAACGCTGTTGCTGTTCATCAATATATATTTGCCTCAAAAGACCGGTGGATGAGAGGCTATGTTCTTAGTTCAGGCATCCATGTGGTCTGTGCTTCAAGATGAAATATGCTCCTGGAGGCTGCATAGCCAAGTGGAAAATTGGGAAGAGGAGATTTTAAGTGGGTCTGCATGCTTCTCTTTCATTTTTATAGATGGCTTGGAGTCCACGGGATTACAGGGTATAAGAAGGGAGAGTGAAGGGGAGTGGTGTATGAAGGAGGAGTAAATAAACAAAGCTGTGGAATGACAGACAATGAAAAACAGGATCAGCCCACATGAAAAACAGCCTAGGAGACATCTTTGGCTAAGGCAAAGACTTTCTTGATTTTTGGTTTGTCTGACACTTTCTTCTCAGTCAACCTCATTCATCAAACTTTGTAAAGTGATCTAAAATTTCTTCAGACATCATCTCCCAGGAGATGCCATCAGAGAGCGATAACACACAGGATCTCCTGGCTCAGCTGGTGTTCTTAGCTTCCAGATCTGCATAGTTTTGTGGAGGGTTGTAATCATATATTCTTGTAATAACTCTGAACCCAGCTACAGAAGAGATGGAGTGAGCCTAGATTTCTCTCACAAGGTTGGCAAGGATGACTAGGCTGGATGACACACCATCACTGTGATTCAAATGGCCATTCCACCGTGCAGCATCCACTGTGAGGGAGTTCTCTGACCAGAAGGACATCGTCTCTAAACTTAATGGTGATATCGTGGCTCTGGCGAAGAGTAAAGGTTATATCCACTTTTTGGGTTAATGTTCCCAAGCCCAGTGGTTGACCTCAGAGAGCTTTCTCTCCCTCTTCTAATGCCATTTTATTTACAAGAATTATTTAGTAATTGGGATCTCTATTAAATGTAGATGTTTTTAATACCTTTAAAAATGCTGACTAATTTCTCAGACTATAGGCAGGAATGGCCGCCAGTGGAAGTGACTGAGGCAGACCCAGGTTGCAATAGATGTTGTGGGTTTCAGGAGACAAGAGTGGACTCCACAAATCAAGGGATTCCTTCCCTACACAGTGACCTCAAGCCACACTGAATCCAAGAGCTGGTAACAACCAATCAATACCAAGTCCGAGAGTTCTCTGGGACTGAAATGGAGCTTCCTTGTCTCTGACTATTGAAAATGAAAAGTGATACCTATGTCTTTGAAATCCAAAGCCGTTTATTCATAAAAGGCATATGCAGAAGTGAATACCATTGTCACTTTCACTGTTTGAAAATCTTGGCACACATGCCCTTGAGTACAGTGATTTCAAAATTTTCCATGATTTTAAAGCATTAACTTTAAGAAAAGATGATGTGAAGTCCCTAAGTTTGCATTAAGGAGGGTGCATTCAGGACTTCCCCAAATTCCTTCACCTTTCTCCTCAGACTTCAGGATGAAGACTATGGCAGTAGAGTCACCTTTCCTCTTGGGCCATGCTTATTTTTTCAATATTGCATATATGTTTCTCGTGCTTCTTCTATATCCCTGTCACTCTGCAAGAGAGTGGAGATAGTGGAGGCACACAGCTATTTCTAAGACAAGCTCTGAACTTCTGGCACAAGATTAGTCTGTGAGGTCTCAGATCTCTTTAGCACTTCTATGATCTCCAACATGAAAGCTTCTTTCCTTCACTTGCCTGTACCAACAGAAGTTTCCAGAAGTTTCTCCCAAGAAGCTTCAGGGGCCCCCATCAAAGGTTGTGAAGAACATGGTGAAAAGCTTTTTCCTTCTTATTCTCCAGAAGCCTTAGTTGACACTAGGAGCTGCATCATTGGTACAGGTTAGGCCAGATGAAACAAGGGTCATTATAGCAGGTGATGCTTGCGGTGGCTACAGTCATCTGAACTTCTTGTAGATGGATGACAAATCATCCAAGAGATGTTCCTGTTAAGTTCTTGGATGCATTAATGCTATTCTCTCTTTGGATGAAGTATCAATGAGTAGTAGGTGGCCAATGACGCCCACCCTGAGAGGACTCATGGAGCCCACCAACTGTCTTCAGTTCCCCACTCCTACCATGTATGGGCTGAAATCTCCCAGAACCATCAACTAATCAAGCTCTTGCTCTGATAACTTGGGGTAGACCCCTGTCCATATTCTTTCTTCTCATCAGCATTTGTCCTGCAGCTCCCGGGTCCTGAGGTGAGAGAATGCCTTTGGAGGAGAGAAAAGCACTGGGCTAGCCTATCTCCCAGGCACTGATACCTGTGAATGCTTGTGAGCTCTTGGTTAAGGACGGTCTGATTACAAAAAAGAAACCCAAGAGCTACCAATCAAAAGTGGATAAAGAACTCCTGAAGACTGTGTGGCCTTTCTTTATAATGTCTCTGTATTGTGAAGTCTGGCTTTGCTCATTCCAGTAATTGCATCCTCAGAGTATTATTTTGATCTTTACTCCCAGAGGAGGATTTGTTTAAGAATCAAGATTTATATGATTGGACAGCTCTCCTGAGGCCTAGTAAATAATTCCGTAAATCTGGCATGTTGAACAATCACAGCTTTGGGGTCAAGGTTGGAATTTACAAATGTAATCAGAAGCTGGCATTTCCCACATGTGTTTTGGGACTATATAGACAAGGGGCACTGAATTGAATAAAATAACTATTGTAGAAGTGATCCAAAATGTTGGTAAGTGTTTTCAAAGAAACAGGAAAAAATTAAACACATTCTTAAATTTAGCTATGATTTTCAGCATTCTCTAAAGAAATTGGAGGTCAAGCCCCAGACTTAAGAGACTCATAAAATTCCTGGAAAAGACATCCAAAAATATGTTTCTGATGACTCTGTGTTGACCAGATACTTAAGAAAGGGATCCAAATCAATCCGTCTTAGTTCAACTTCTGGACTAGGGAGACTGGGTTCCACATTCACAAATGGTGTATTAGTAATGAGTGACAGTGAAAATGAAAAAAATCTCTTTTTCTTTGTGGGATGGTTTTAGGAGCAGGTGATGGGTGTGGAGTCTGTGTGCAGTGGAGGAGGGGCTGGAATTCCACTACCCCTGCAAGCCTCCTCTAGCCACCCCACCCTGTGATTCCCAGAGGAAGAAACTGAAGCCCCCAGTGACCATGTGGTCTGCCCACGGTGCTTTCATCAAGACTGTCCTTGAAGATGCAGCGAGACAGATAATTCCCTAACATAAGGAATTAAGATTCAACATGAAATATTCTTGCTTTTTGACAAAAATACTGTCATTAAAGAGGATGATATTGCCAAATTTCCTTCTGTTCTAAAACCAACCTGTTTTGAGAAAAATCAAGTAGCTTTCATAAAAGAAAAGGTGGACCTAAGCTTCCAAAAGGAGATTTAAGTCCTATAATTTGCTCTGGGAAATGTCACTGGGGTAAGAAGCTTCTTATGCTGGGGACTTGACCATAAGGAGCCCACACTTGTCTTACTCTTTCATGCCAGCTGTTGGGTAATCAAGTCATTCTTTCCTGCTTATTGAAGGCAGCAGTGTGCAAAGAAACAGGCCCTCCTGTCTTTGCCTTCTACTGCATGGAGGTCTCTGAATCACTGTCCTGGACTCTGGCCTTTTCTCTGTTAGGGGACATAAACTCACCACAGCATACAAATTAGCTGCTTTATAATGACCTATTGAGTAAAAATGAAATCTGGTAACAAGAGAAAATTAAACACTTTGAATTTCTAACTTTTCACACCAGCAGCTTTTGCTTTTCCTAAATGCTCCTCACCAGGAGTGAAGTTCCCTGGGAACCTAAAAAAGTGCTTCTTGCTACCAGCGAAGATCAAAAAGGGGTTTCTCCTTCTCAATTCTATTCCAAAAAGAAAAAGAAGGCACCACACCATTGTTTCCCTCATTGGCATCCCACACCCTTCCCCTTGCATCTAACAAGGTTACTGGAGTGTTCCTTCCGCACTAGGGTGTGGGGTTTCCATTGGGGATGCAGCTGGCCACAGGCAGAGATGCACAGAGAGCAAGATGCCATGCGGGGAAATTAGATGGGGACAAAGGAAATGTTCACCACACAATGAAAGGTAATAGGATTCCCAGCCAACGTCCTTTCATCTGAGCCACTATGACTAGCCCATTACTTCTCCAATGCCCTGTGACATTTCTCTGGTATTTATGACTGTCCACCTCCCTCTTGAATCGTGCACATTTACCTTGATGTATTTCTTATCTGGAGGGGAAAAAGCATCTGCAATCCCAAGGAGAAATTTGCTGTTAAAAAGTGACAATGGGGTATGCAGGGGACGTGGGAGGGTTCCTTCCTGACATCAAAACAGAGGGTTGCTCTGCAAGCTAGGCTGATGAACATCCATGAGACTGGATGAGACGAGATGGAGCACAGTCTTCCCACAAGCCCTGTCATGAATTGCTGGTGCCTGGACGCAGGGAGAATTTCCCTAAATCCCTTGTCATTTGACTCAGATGAGATGCTTGGACATCCATAAACTTTTTGGAACTCGGTAAGCTGAGGACACTGTAAGCAAATGAGAGAAGACAGAACGCACTCTCTCTGGGCTCTGATTTTGGTTTTAATAGGGATGGTCCCCCTTCTGGGCAGGGAGGCTAGAAGGTCAGCTTGTCCTCAGTCACATGGAAAAGCGAAGGTGATGGGAGAGGAGAGTGTAAAGGATCAGGTCTCTTGGGTGGCTAGGGCCACTTCTCTTTAACTGCCCAGGACAACTGTGAGATAGGATGACACTGACATCAAGAGGCCACCCAGAGGCGCACAGTGAGACAGTGTGGCACACTCTGCTATGGAAAGGCAGGGCGGGCTGCCACCAGCCATGGAGCGGCTCCCCTAAGATTGTGGCTGGGCAAACTAGCTGTGGAACTCAAGCGTGACTGTGATAAAAAGGCACAGCCTCTGGGAAGGATAAGAGCCAGATGTCTCCGCAGAAAACCTGGGCTTTGTCCTGTAAGGACCACAGAGCAATCAGCTGGTGAGAAGCCCCTGCACCAAGACTCAGAAAGCAAGCCTCTGCTTTACTTTTTACAAGTCAAGTGACCTCAGGCCTCAGGTCCCTGAAAAGGAGGGGATGATACCTATGGGAGTATAAATAATGCAGTTAAAGCCCTTAGCACAGTGCTTGCCGTACTGTACTCAAAACTCAGAAGCCATTATGACTAATATTAATAGGTGTAAGGTACTCCACAGCCATTTTTAAACAGAGTGATGTTGTGGGGGCAGAGATAATGAATATAAACTAATTTCATGCTATAAAACAAAAGGAATGAGGCCTAAAAAAACCATGCAATAAGAGGTAGCTCCATTTGCTCAAAAGTCCTTTGTTTGTTATAATCTTTGGGGTTTGTCTCCCAGTTTCTATAAGATTTTCAGAGCTGGAGAAGCACCCATAATACTGCCTTCTAAAGCCATGTGCTCACCATCTGATCACAGACCTTCCTTTTTAAAAAAAAAATGGGAGGGGAAGTTAAAACACACATACACAAACCAGTGGATTCCATAAAGACCCTTTTGGTGAGTGTTCATTCCAGGATAATAAACCAAGCCAACGTCTGGCTGTGTTTAAAATCAACAAAACCAGCAGGAAAGGCAAAAAGAAGGGAATGGAGTGATCAGCTTGTTTTGAAAGCTGCCAACAGTGCTGCTTCAGCAGGGGCTGGTGCCGAGGAGCCCTCAAGAGAGGAGAAAGGAGACAAATGCAGACGGGACAGGAGCCGAGGACGGGGGTGGGGGGGTTGGAGGGGACAGGCCTAATGGGAAGCAGATGTGGCCTGGGGCCTGTGGGAAGCTTTCCGCAGGATTTCAGGCCTCTTTGGGAGCTCTGGCCTAAGAGGCTAGTGGGTGTGGAGGGTTCAGACCTCCCAACCAGATCATAAATTTGATCTAATGGCTACATTTATTGAGCACTGTACAATGTGCCAGCCTGTGCTAAACTCTTTACATGCATTATTTTCCATGTGATTTTATAGGTGAAGAAACTGAAGCTCAGGGAGGCATTGGGAATTGTGCATAGCTGCTAAGTGATAGAGCCGCCTGCCTCATTCTCGAAGCCCAGCTCCTTGTCACAAAGTTATATTGCATTTGGCCCTGGGAGGACTAAACAGCAAGGCATGTGGACCAGCTAGCTGAGATCTGGGAAATGCAAGTTGGAAGGGAAAAGGTTAAAAAATGCCTAATTGTGAGTTTAAGTCCAATTGATGCCCAGGAAATGTCACCCATAATGTCATCAGATGAAAGGACTTTTGCCCAGTTTCCACATGCAAGGGGGCCCCGCCGTGGCCCTCAAGTGCCTGACAGAGACAGGCACCCCACAGCCCCGGAGAGGAGGCGCCGGGCCTGGGCCCACCATACCGATGGTGCAGTGCTCGCCATTCCAGCCGGGGCTGCACTCGCACTTTCCGTCCCGGCAGGTCCCATGCTCCGCGCAGCGCGGGTGGCAGGCACGCTGGTCGCAGGCCGCCCCCATCCAGCCGTCCTCGCAGCGGCAGGTGCCCCCCACGCAGACGCCGTGGCCACCGCAGTCGGCAGCACAGATCTCTGTGGGGGGAGGGGCCGGGGAGGGAGGAGAGAGACAAAACCACAAGTGAGCGAGTCATCCTTGGGAACAAAGCTCGCACTTGGCTATCTACCACGGCTTCCGTGAGCAGAGGCTCGGGGGGCTCCTCTGTGGACAGTGACCCTCGGGCAGGAACAATTCTCCAGGCAGAGGCCTGTCCCAAGCCCGCGTCCTCAAGAGAGTGGGATGGGCTGCAGGGCTCCGCGCTGTTTGCTTTTTCCTGCTGCCATCCTGTCCCTGCTTTTGTGCTTGCCGCTTCCAAAGGGGACCGGCCTTCCGAACAGATGTGAGGAAAAGTCGAATTTAATTAAAACCCAGTTATGTGTGAAAACAAAGTGAGGATGAGTCCCTGATCGCCATGCGAAGGGCTGGTGGGTCTGGCTGGAGTGTGGGAAGGGTCCTGGGCTTGCGTTTCATTCCAGCCTTGACACTAACGGAGGTGGGGTGAGAGGGAGGTGGACCCCTGAACTCTGTGGGGTCACTCTGGGTGCTTGTTCTGGGCATTTGCTGGGTGCATGTTCTGTCCTCCTGCTCCTGGCTTCCTCACTCCAGCCCTAAGCACCAGCTAAGGGGCCTTTCCCATCCAAAACAAACAGCTGGGGTGGGGGCGGGGACACTTCACAGCCAGAGTGGAGTCGTCCAGCCCTTCACAAAGGCCCGTCTGTGAGATGGTGCAACACACACACATGACCTGATTCACAAGCCCCTTGGGCCCAGGGCCAGCGACAGCTTCATGGCTATGCAGGCAGAGGCTGTGAAGGGTCTGGAACACAACTGCTTTTTAGGAAGCTGGCTGAACAACTGTGGCCATTGACGCTCTCTGCCAGCACTGTGATGGAGACCCTGACTCGTGGCCCGACATTCTTCAAATGAAAATCCCAGCGCCTTTAATTTCAAATTAAATTAACTGGCACCCGTGTCAAGTTGCATTTGCCCATTAGCCCTTCCAAGCTGTATTCCTGGCTTAGAAGCTACTAATCGTCTAGTTACTTTTGAAAAAGGATAGTAAAATTGGATCTCAGAGGCTCAGAACTTTCATATTAATCCACAAGGCAAAGGCTAAAATGTTTGAGAATAAAGAACTCCCTCAAAACCAACAGTGAGAGTTCCCATGTATAGTGTCTTCCTATGCCCAACACCTTGCCAAGCAAACTAGCTGGAAAGGGAGGTACTGCAGGCAGTACCGCATCAGGTTTCTTGGCTGCCCAGAGAGAGAGGCTGCTGGAAAACATGTGGAAAGAGCCCTGACCTGGAGCCGGGGACCTGGGTTCTGTGCAGGGCTCGGGCAGGAGCTGAAGCTGTGTGAGCCCGGGCAGGCTCTCTAATTTCATTGCTGATATGGATGCTGCCTCATGGCACCTCTGCTGCCCACGGGGGCTGTGATGAGCACTCAGTGAAGCAGAGGACAGAAAAGGGCATGGCAACGGTCAACGGTCGCTAACTCCAGAAAGGTTTCTCAGGACAGTGAGTTCTAGATTAGGTGTCCAAAGACGGGGCTTGCCAGGTCTGCGCCTGCTCAGCCGCCGATCTTCTGTGTGACCTTGGGAAGGTCACTTGCCCTCTCTGGAGGTCAGCTCCCTCATCTGCTGCAGAGAAAGGTGATGGCTTCTTAGACTGTGGGAGTCTATGATATACACACCCCTCCACGTTACACAGTGCAATCTATCCCCAAGGCTCGGCTGGAGTGACCCTCCTCCCTGGAGAAGTCTCCCACGATTCACCCTGTGGTCATGCTGCTGCTCCTCACCTTTCCACGTGACATGGTGCACTGCTCTTCTCTTTTCTGTGTCTCTTACTGTCAGACTAGGGACACCCTGAGGCTGGATGAATTCTTCTGATCACCCCACTGCCTGGTACCCAGCACAGATCGTGGCACAGGACAGACCCTCAATTAAGGTTTGCTGGATAATGGAAAAATCCTTGTGTTCCCTGGGGCTACAGGAACCTAAGAATTTAAAACAATGCAAAGACACCCTGTTCAGCTCAGCTGAGAGTCAGTCCCTGCCTGTCTGCTTATCTCTAGTGAGTTGCCCTCAGGAAAACTTCCCAAGTAAGGGTGGGGCTGTGGAGCAAAGTGTCAGGATACCATCCAGCAGCCCTCCAGGAATGGGGCTTTCTCAAGATGTTCTTCAAGCTTCCTTGCTTTTTTGCTCACAGGGACAACATCTTGGGCTTTCCTCAAGACAAAAATGACAATCTCAGGTCCGGGCCTCCCTGAATCTGAGATTCCCTCCCTCCTGCACAGCAGTGCAAGGGCATCAACGCAGGTGACTCCGGAGGCGGGGCCTGCTCTCAGGGCTGGCTGAGACTGTCACCTGAGAGCCCCGAGGGAAGATCAGCTTAGCCTTCATTTGGATTTACTCAGCACTTTTTCCAGGTGGCAGTTGATGATGTGAAAGTAAACAGCAAACAGCACTTCTATTCACCGAGGCGTGAACCAGGAGAGGGATGGGCTTCGGAGGACAAAGTCGTGGTGTTTTCAAACCACAGGGCACCTGGAGTTCATGGGGTTGAGGGAGAAGAGGCAGGTCCTCACTAACCGCTAGTTCATTTGTTCACTGATTAACCTGGAGGCAGTATGGGTGAAAGAGCATAAAGCTTGGAATCAGGTGGGGATCCAAATCTCATTTCTGCCTGTTGTGGGACCTCAGGCAGCCTATTCAATTGCTCTGAGCTTCGTTTTCACCTTCTGTAAAATGGGGATGGTGATAGCACCCGCTTCAGAAGGTACACTGCCCTAATACACGGGGTATTCCCACAGACTTCGTCATTGTTCCAGCGATATCCCATCATGCCTGCTGTGTGCCAGAGACTGCGCCTGAGGCTAGGAATACAGAGGTCAATAAGATAAGGTTTCTGCCCTCCAGGAGATCATAGCCCAGACAAAGCACAAACTGGTGCCAAAGACCATCCAAATAACCTCCAGCTGCTACTCACATTGGCACTTTTCTTTGCTTATGAGCAATGAATAAAGAACCATGAATCTCAGGATCCAACAGATTTGGGATCTACTCTTGGCTTTGTCACTTATTGGCTGGGCAATCTATGAGGTGCAAGTTATGCAATTTATTGACTCTCTCAATGTCCATGTTTTATAAAAGGAGGATATTAACTCCCACTTCACCAATCTCACAGGGATGGCATTAGATCACATGAGGGAATGTGTGGAAAAGCCATTTTTGGCTTAGTAACTAACACTTACATCAGGTTTTACAGTTTACAAAGCACTCTTCACATCCAGCTTCTCATTTACCTGTGACAACAGTGCTGTGGGAGCACCTGGCTATTACCCTTAGAGATGAGGCTACTGAGACCCCAATAGCAGAGGGGGAATTCTACAAGGTCACGTGTTCATCTGGACAGTCCTCAGAGCAAGGCTGCAAGACAGGCATTTCACAAACAAGGACACTGAGTCTCAGACTAGGCAGGCTCCTGGTTCTTCCAGCAGATCTTCCCCCCATTTCTGGCCCCATTGCTTAGCCCTTGTTACACTCAAGCCAGACCCTGACTATGTGTGAAATGAAAGGAGACTCACTACATAGAGTTTCCCAGACACCTGGGCTCACTTTTCTCCTCTGGAGGCAGCGGAGCTGTCCCTCCAAACACTCCATTTGCTCGCCAGTTTACACTAGACATGCTCTCCTGGCACGAAGCTAAAGCCGCCTGGTGGCTGGGCACCCCTCCATCAGCCCTTTACAAGCTGGGCTGTGAGCTCTTAATGGAAGGGGCCTGAGCAGGGGACCTTGATGTTTATGGGGCGCTATGTGATGGTAACACAGCTTGTCAGTGTTCAGGTTCTCCTCTGCAGATGGCCTCCCTGCCTGAGTTGAGGAGACCCACTGACTCTCTATGTGAGCAGAAACCTGAGATGCTGTTTTATCATGTGGCCTCAAGTTGTAGGCCCATTTCTCATTTTATATTTCAATTTTTTTTGTTCTTGAAGTAAAAGAAATGGCTTTATTTTTCTTTCTCCAATTCTGCTTTGACACTAAAGCAGATATAACTTCCCAGAGCGATTGGTGGTGAAAACCAAATAGGATGAAGCTAAAGAACGTGTTTTGATGCTTAAAGTGTGCCCTTTACGTAAGGTAAGTGACACTTAGTGAATGTGGGTCACAGGTCATCTCAGTCTCAAGTTTCCTCAGTTGTAAACTGGGGATGATGCCCTCAACTACTGTAGAGAGCTGCTGCATGAATGACTCTCATTTGCTTAATTTCTTGAGCACTCGCTGTGATAAATCCTACAGGGGGCACCTAGGGATCCAGTGGTGATTATGACAAGACATGGTTTGTTCTTGACCTCAAGGAGTTTAAATTCTAGCATGGCAGATGGACATGGCTGAATTAAACAAGGTAACATGAATGGGAGTGAAGTTTCTAGCATGGAGCCTGGCACATCGTCAGGATATGATGAATTGTGCACACACATATCTTACAAGAACGGAAATGGGGTGTAGTGGCAAGTGTATCAGACAAGTCAGAAGACAGGATGTGAATTCTGACTGATGCAACACACCCAATACCAGTGAGTGTTGGATACAGGCCAGTTGATGCTCATGCGATTAACATCAGAGCTTTCTGACTAAATGCCGGAGGGGCGGGGTCTAGGAAGGGTCCTCTGAAGCACTATAGAGCACACAATCTGTAGGGCAGATCTGGATTCAGACTCTGACTCCCCAGTTTTTGTGGGCCCTTGTGGAGTCCTAGGGAGAATTAATTACTTGAGTGCTCTGGACCATACTTCTTGACCCCTAAATTGGGGTGAGTAATAATAGTCCCCTACAGGGTGAGTGGTGATAACTGAAGGAAAGGGTAAATGTGAAAGGCTCTATGTAAACAGCGCTATGTATGTTGTGTTATGTACACGACTGATTGATGGGGACCCAAGATGTCCTGTGTCAGCACAGCTCCTAGTCCTCTACCAGGAGAGCATCTCCCTAAAGAGCAAAATGTTTCCCCATAGCAGACTCAAATTTGGGTA